GTGTGTGTGTGTGTGTGTGTGTGTGTGTGTGTGTGTGTGTGTGTGTGTGTGTGTGTGTGTGTGTGTGTGTGTGTGTGTGTGTGTGTGTGTGTGTGTGTAATATGTGTGTGTGTGTGTGTTCGTGTGTGTGTGTGTGTGTGTGTGTGTGTGTGTGTTCGTGTGTGTGTGTGTGCTTGCGCGTGTGTGTGCTTGCGCGTGTGTGCGCGCGCGCACTCTTATGTGTATGATGTATGAGTGAAATCATTATCCAATTCTACATTCCTGAATCTTTTATTACTTCTACTCAGAATTAGAGAATTATCCCGAGTGGCCTCTGGCATGCAAACAGAATATGTAGATGTCATGAATATTTGATAACGGTGAGTAAAGCAGTTGATATTCAGCAAACAGCGCAATAGGATATGGGCGTTTGCAGGAAATATGAAATATAAATCCCCCGCTAATGCCGGTATCCTTTAAAAGCACGGGATAAATCAGCAATCAAATATCTATCTCTTTATGTAACGAATGACAAAGGTGTGCGTGCGTATACCAGGTAAGAATTAGGAACAAAAAATCGATTAAATGAAAGGAATTGAAAAATAAGGTATCTAGAAAAGATTATCCAAAGCCGGAACCGAGATATAGGAACCAAGGAGATGGGAGCAAACCCAGGAACCATGAAATGGGAGCCCGAATCCAGACACAATGGAATTGAAACCCAAATTCAGGAAACAAGAAATGGAAATTCAAATCAGGAGCCATGAAGTGGAAGCCCAAAACCACGAACCATGAAATGAGAATCCAAATCTAGGAACTATATAATAGGATCCCAAATACTGGAACCATGAAGTGGGAACTCATATTCAAGAACCATAAAATGGAAACCCAAGTACATTAACCATGCTATGGAAACCCAAATCCAGGAATTATGAAAGGGAAACCCAAATCTAGAAACTATGAAACTGGAATCCAAATCCAGGAACCATGAAAGAAACCCAAATAAAGGAATCAAGTGGGAATCCCAATTCACGAACCACTAAAAGGGAACCAACATCCAGGAACCACAAAGTGGAAACCCAATCCAGGAACAATGAAATGGGAACCTAAATTCAGGAACTGACATTTGGGAATCTAAATCCAGGGACCATGGAATGGGAAGCCTAATCCAGGAACGGAGATATGAGAATCCAAATCCAGGAAACCTGAAGATGAACCCAAAATCGAGAACCATGATATTGAAACCCGACTTCAGAAGCAATAAAGTTGGTATTCAAATTCAAAAACGGAGAAATGGAAATTCAAATGAGGAACCAAGAAGCAGGAATTCAGATCCGGGAACCGAGAAAGGGCAATCAAAATCCAGTAATCGACGAACGAGAAACCAAATCCGGGAACCGAAAACGGGAACCTAGATCCAGGAACCAAGTGCGAATCCTATTCCAGGAACCCTAAAGCAGAAACCCGGATCCTGGAACCAAAACCACAAACCAAAAGCCCTAAAGATCAATAACCGAGAAAAAAAAAAAAAAAAAAAAAAAACATGGGTCTAACAAAGGGAGAACTTGGAACCAGGCCCGAAGAACTTACCTTGTGTATGCCCAAGTTATCGACGCGGCAGGCGAACTTGACCGTCCTTCCCTCGGAGACAGTCATGTTCTGGATTTCGGAGAGGAAGCTCGGGTCCCGCGGCTTCACTCCTGCAAGGACAGGCGGGCGGGGTTAGGTCCTGCTCATGGGCGGCGGGGGTGGGGGGGGGGGGGGTTGGAAGCGCTGTCAGGGATCGTCTTTAGACATGTGGGTATGCGTGAAATATATATATATATATATATATATATATATATATTATATATATATATATATATATATATATATATCTGTTTGTGTATGTATATATGTATATATGTGTGGTGTGTATATATCTATATATCTCTCTATCTATCTATCTATATAATCTATATATTATATATATATATATATATATATATATATATATATATATATATATATATAGAGAGAGAGAGAGAGAGAGAGAGAGAGAGAGAGAGAGAGAGAGAGAGAGAGAGAGAGAGAGGTTTTATATATCATATATATATATATATATATATATATATATATAATTATATATATATATATATGTATATATATATATATAATATATACATATATATAGTATATATATAATATATATATATATAATATAATATATATATATATATATTATATATATACATATATACACGCATGTATATGTATATATGTATGTATATATGCATGTATGCATGCAAGACATGAGAGATGTTGCTACCGCTGTAAAGGTTCCTAACTGAAACTGCGTGCGCTGAGAGAGAGAGGAGCAAAATAAAGTGAGATATGTATAGATATGTAGATTGGAAGAGAGTGATGAGAGGTAGGAAGGGAGAGAGAAAGAAAAACAGTGAAAGGGAGGACCAAACAGACGAGAGAGAAAGAGAGGGGATAGAGAGAAAGCTGGATAGATAGATAGATATCGAGAGAGAGAGAGAGAGAGAGAGAGAGAGAGAGAGGAGAGAGAGAGAGAGAGAGAGAGAGAGAGAGAGAGAGAGAGAGAGAGAGAGAGAGAGAGACGGACAAACAAAGAAAGAGACAGACAGACAGTCAGACAGACAGTGGGGGACGGTTGAAGGGAATTAGACAGAATCAGAAAAGAGAAAGAGAGAGAGACAAATAGACAGAGACAATGGTAGAATGAC